GGCATGGTAGGGTGGCTGGATTGTCAAATCAATAGTCAGTTCGGTTCCGTTAACCTTTATTGGCATAAAATACCTTAAAAGTGTTTCCCGGAGCAGATGATGCCGAGTAGATAGAGCAGAGGCAATAGAGCATAATACACCATCTTGGGAAATACCATGTTGAACATCTAGACCACTTTGTTAGTAACTTGTTAATAATGTTATTGGATTATAGCGATTTTAAATGGTTTTATGTATGTTTTATATTGGCATATGCCTCTTGTAAGCCGCCCTGAGCCCGCGTAGCGGGAAGGGCGGGGTATAAATTGAATAAAATAAATAAATTGAATAAAATAAATAAATTGAATCGTTCATCGATATTTCTGGATCAGGGTCATTTAGAAGGCGGTGCACTTTTAAGGCATCTGAGAATCAAATTAATTATCTGGGAGACCCCGATTTGGATCCCCACGCTGCCATAGAGGCCCACTGGGTGAGAGCGTGGGCCAGTTATTCTTTCCTGGCTTAACCCCACCTCGCAGGGTCGCTGTGAGGATCCCGTGGAGGAGATGAGAGGGATGCCAGCTGCTTTGGGGACCCCACTGGAGAGCAAGGTGGGGGGGGTAAATAAATAAAGAAATTTTTGAATATTTTTGGAACTATACTTTAGAGTACGTTGGGCTCCAGGTAATCTTTTTACCACGACTAGGCGCTGTTTTTGGGCATCTTTTCTTTTCTTTTCTTTGCCACGTTGAGTGATCCTGTTTGAAAAGAACTTTGGCAGCCTGAGTCACGTTCTCTTGCTTCACATCTCAGCCACAATGAAAGTAGCCCCTCTTGCCTATTCTAATTGGCTATTTTAAGGCTGCCTCCATTTTCCAGTAGAAAAATCCCTTCTAATGGAATGCGCACATGCGTGTACGTGCGTGCATATGCGCACAGTTTTCATTGACGAACCCCGCTGCTGCTGCTGTCCTCTGAATTTGAATTGCCCCCCCCCCCGCATCGCTCCTGGGGATCCCGTTCTGTAGGAGCTGTGGCTCAGTGGGAGAAGGTCCCAGGTTCAATCCCCGGCATCCCCAGGCGAAAAGGACCGGGCAGCAAATGATGTGAAGGACCTCTGCCTGAAACCCTGGAGACCCACTGCCAGTCTGAGTAGACAATATCGTCTGTGATGGACCAAGGGTCTGATTCACTATAAGACAGTTTCTTGTGTGTGTCATCGTCAGGGGTCATTTCGTAGAAAAACAGCTAGGGGAACTCATTAGCATAACTCATTAGCATATGCCACACCCCCTGACATCAGGGGCCCGGCGGTGGACCTGCAAGGCCAGCGGGAGTGCGAGGAAGCCCCGCCAAGGCCCTCCCTGGCACCAGGCAGGCAGGGGTGGGGAGAGGCGGGGAGGAAGCAACTTACCCTCCCTCTTCTCCTGCCTCCTCCTGGATGAATGAGGGCCGGAAATGGGGGGCAGGGCTTCGTCGTGTGCCCCATCCCCCGCGCAGCCTGAGTAGACAAATACTGACTGTGGTGGACTGTGGCTCTGATTCAGTATAAGGCAGCTTCATGTATACCTGGCAGCATTCCAAGGATCATTTTAGGCTGCAGTCAATGTTTCCTCTAAGCTGTGAAGTCTTGTGAGCAAAAATTCTACTTTGTGAGCTACCGGCATTAAAAGTTGTGAGCGAGCCATTTGGCTGCTGCATAAATCAGTTTGCTCTGGAGCCATCCTTCCTGAGCTAAGACAGAAATGTGTGAGCCGGAGGCTAAAAATCTGTG